TAAAACCCCCTTTTCTGGTGAGAGAGGGAAGGGGAGAGATGAGAGACAGGCTGCAGCCGGGGCAAGGGCAAGGGCAGGGGGAAGGAGGAAGGAAAAGCTTTCTCTGGCTGGAAGGCAGTCTCCCCTCCCTCTAGGGAAAGAAACGAAGATAACGCTGCTTGGGGAAACACTGGCAACTAGGAGCCAGTGTAGTAGGGTAACACCCTGGAAGAAGAGGCGGGGAAAGCATTTCTGATTGCATTGGGGGTTTCTGTTGCTTTGCTGAAGGGGACTTCTTGGGCCTACCCTGTGGCCCACTGTAGCGGGGTGGTCACCCGCTCCTGCCTGGGAAGGGTTAAAGCAGTCTGCCCCAGGGCGTGGGGCTGTGGAAGGAAAGACCTGGGCTGATTGGGGGAAGCAGCTGCAGCTGGGCCATGCCCCAATCAGAGCCCAGCTGGCCCTCTAGAGGCCAGGCACCCAGAGGCTCAGCAGTCTCTCTCTGCACTCAGCGAGAGAAGGGCCTTGCACTCAGAGGAGGCTGCGTTTCAATGCTGCCTTTGTGTACACGTCAGTAACATGCCTTGAGTTGCAAGGGCTTGTTTATTGTCTGAAACTCCCATTCTCAGGGCTGTGTTCACATTCTAGAACCGACATGAGGAAAAAAGAAAAGGTTCTAGAGTTAATGTCTCTGAGCACCCAGTTGATAGCCTTGAACCTTCAGTGCAGGACAAACACGAAGTTCTTTAAAACAGTTTACAATAGCTTCCCCAGCAAGCCTTAGGCTGTGATGAGATAATCCCAACTGCTATCCACCCTCTCCCATCGACCAAAGCTGTTCCAGAGGGGAGAGTCTACTGCCGAACTCGACTACAAAACCCCCATGCTTATATAGTGAAACGTATTAAAACAATCTTTGCCCCAGCATTGTTCTCTGGCTGTTAACCTTAGTGACCAGAGGATCAGTAAGGACCTTGGGATGGTTTCTGCCATTTAATTGCACTGCTTGAATGAGGATCTAGACTGGCTAATGGAGATGAGGCTGGTTGGAATTGCCATTCTTCTTGGGATGGCAGATGTTCTCCAGGCCTTTGCAATCATGGAGAAGGAAGATGTATTCAAGAAAACACCCTGCCCAGCCTTCCTGATGTTTGACAATGCTGCCTACTTGGCTGACATGAGTTTTGAGCTCCCTTGTAAGTGCAAGCCAGAGGAGGTCACCTCAGTCGTGTGGTACTTTCAGAAGAGCATGGGCAGCCGGCAGACCAAGGTCTTAACAGACTTCGATGGAACCATGTTCTTGGACGCAGGCCACATCCGCGTGGGCAGCGACATGCTGAAGCGCTTCAGCATTAGGATGTTCAGTCTCATCATCTTCCAGGCCCAGGTGAAGGATTCAGGCCACTATCTCTGTGGTACCAAGGCAGGGGACTTCTTCTATGGCTATGATGTGGACGTGCAGCCCTCCAAGGCCATCACAGTGGCCTTTGAGGACAGGAGCCAGCACCCACAGAAGGATCATACAGAAGAGTATTTCAGCATGTTCACCACCTTTTGGGACTGGACCAAGTGTGACCGCTGTGGGGTGAGAGGTGAGCAACGGAGAATTGGCCTCTGCTATGTGAAGAGCGCCTACCTTTTCCCCAGGTACCGCACAGTCCCGACAGACGTGGTGTCCTGTGGCTCAAGATCTGTCCCCGGGCGCTTCCAGGGCATCATCCGGCGCAGGAAGCCCGAGGTTGTCATCCGAAGCTGCCTGACACCCTGTGTAAAGACAAAAGGTCCCGAGGAAGGAGTGCTGTCCATCTCCAATCTCATTGCAAAGATTGGCCAGAAACCCTGGCTGCCCAAAGTCCCCATTCAGTTCCACAAGCAACTCCTTGGCAGCGGTCTGATAATTGCCTGCCCCGGGGCCAGGCCAGAGCATGCAGTGGCATGGGACAAAGATTCGACTCGATTGTACCGCACCAGCTTCCTCACTGGGGTCAACAGAAGCATGCGGGTCTTCATTGACCATGGCAACCACCTGCATATTCGATTTGCCCAGCTGGATGACAGGGGCACTTACTACTGCTGGCGTGAGGGGCAAATGGTTGCTGGCTTCCGGCTCTCCGTGGGGTTCCGAGGTCACCGCAAGCGAACCCTCGATGACCCCGAGACGAGATATGCCATCAAGGCCATCCTCACAAGCTATGTCCTCATCACCATGGTGTTCGTCGGCATCCACATCAGCCGCTGCTGCTGCTATGTGTTCAGATGCACTCCCATGGAGTAGCCTCACTGATGAGCGCTGGCTGCAGGCCAGGGAAATTATTTCTCTTGTTCGTTCGTGATTATGTCTTGGAACATTTTCGCTTGGGCTATTGGGAATTTTCCTAATGCACATTAGCAATAAATGCAAGCAAAATGCTACCAGTGCATGCTCATTAATTTCCTTTCATTGTGGAGAAAGAGAGAACTGAACCATAATGAGAACTGCATTCAGCTTGTTAGGGACAGAGTCTGGGAACCAGGACTTTTGGGGTCTGTTCCTGGCTGTGCCACTGACCTGCTGTGTGGCTTTGGGCAAGTCACTCAGTAAAATAATACTAATATTTTGCACTTCCTTCGGCTAGTCTACACTAGAAGTGCTACATCAGCACAGCTGCACCGCTGTGGCATGTCTGGTGAAGATGCTGTATGCCGATGGGAGAGAGCTCTCCCATCAGCATAACTCCACCGAAAGCGGTAGCTATGTCAGTGGGAGAAGCGCTGTCCACACTGGTGCTTAGGTTGTTGTAACTTACGTGGCTTGGGGGGTGGCTTATTCACACCCTTGAGCGACATAAGTGATACAAAAGTAAGTGGCCATTACTGGATTTACAGAGCCGGGCCCATGCTCAGAAGAGGCCCTGGCCTGTTCCACTTGCACTGTGTCCCGAGACCTGCCAGCCCGCTGACTCCCCCAGGCCACCACTTGCTCCTCTCGGCCAGCTGGCCCCACCCACCAGCTCCTCTCTGCCCCTGGCCAGACCCCAGCACACCTCTAGCTCCGGGCAATCTCCGCTTCCCACCACCTGTGGGGCCCACCTGTCTCCTCGAAGCTGAGCCGCCTAGGACTGGTGCAGAAGCCTGGCTAGTCTCAGCCAGTCGGGGGGAGAGGGAAAGTGTGGGGCTGAGCAGAGCGGGGCCGTCCCCGCCATGCCATGTCCCATTGCCACCGGCCAGCCCCTCACTCTGGGGACCGACCTCCCTGCGCCATACTCCATTGCCCCCATGGGGCCCCACAAATATGTTTAGCACCGGGCCCACAAAAGGTTAATCTGGCCCTGTAAGTGGTAATGTCGACAAAGCTTTATTTTTTCTAGCCAAGGGTCTCAAAGCCCTGCACGAAGGTGGTTAAGTACCATACTATTATCCCCATTGTACAGGTGGGAAACTGAGGCACAAGGGGCCAGCTTTTCAAGGGCTCAGCAGCCAACATGCGCCACAGTGTGCTGGGCTCTTCTGAAAGTCCAACCATTTTATCTAAAGGGGAGCTGAGCTCTTTGGAACGCTGCCCCCATTCATAGAATAACAGGGATGGAAGGGACCTCAGGAGGTATCTAGTCCAACCCCTTGCTCAAAGCAGGACCTATCCCCAACTAAATCATCCCAGCCAGGGCTTAGTCAAGCTGGGCCTTAAAAACCTCTAAGGAAGGAGATTCCACCACCTCCCTACGGAACCCATTCCAGTGCTTCACCACCCTCCTAGTGAAATAGTGTTTCCTAATATCCAACCTAGACCTCCCCCACTGCAACTTGAGACCATTGCTCCTTGTTCCGTCATCTGCCACCTCTGAGAACAGTCTAGATCCATCCTCTTTGGAACCCCCTTTCAGGTAGTTGAAAGCAGCTATCAAATCCCCCCTCACTCTTCTCTTCTGCAGACTAAACAATCCCATTGCAGGTGTTGAGCCCTTGGAAATTCTGGCTCTAGTCTGATGGCTCCAGCAACAAGTCAGTTCAGCCCCTCACCAGAGCACCTGTTTGCAGGCTCCTCGTGAAGGGTTCCTGCTGCTCAGCTCCCCGTCCTCATCCCCTCCCCTGTGCTTGGAAAAAGTTACCCTTGGTTCTCTCTCACGTACACACCCAGAACCACAGGGTGCCCTGTGGGGAGAATCTCCAGCCCAAACCCCCAGGCCTCAGGGTGGGACACAGGTAGGGTGGCCAGATGTCCCGATATTTGGGGCTTTGTCTTATATAGACACCTATTGTTCCCCACCCCCTGTCACACTTGCTGTCTGGTCACCTAGGCACAGGTAGGTTCCTTATCTCTCTCCAACCTCAGGGGGCTCCCTTTTCTAGGGCCTGCAATGCATTCTGGGGCATGCCTCAGTGATGCCAATGCCATCCAAAGGAGGCAGTCCCCAGGAGAGCACCCAGTCTGTGCAGCTGCGAGCAGGAGCCTCCTGCAGTATGGCCAACCCCACAGGTTCCAAAGTCATGGTCAGACTCCAGACTCAGGAGATTGGCCCAAAATCATGTGATTTAAAAGACCACCATATTGTGGTTTTGGTCTGATGCCCTGCCCCCGCCAAGGTGTGGGTGAGGATCGGTGCAGCCAGCACTGATTTTACAGCACTGATATTACAGTGATTTTGGCCCCTGCTGCAGCAGCAACCAGCCCCATATCTGCCCACCCTGGTCGAGCAACGAATCTGCCCCACATCCATTCTGCCCTGCACCCTCTCAGCTCTGTTCCTCCAAGGGCTCTTCCCCTCCCTCTCCCAGGCTTGGGGGGGTTCAGTGGGGTCCCCTCTGCCTATTCCAGGCTGGGGACGTGTGACTCCAGGGGCTCTTCAGCCCACTTCCCAGGTGTGTCCTGCCGAGGGAAGGGCAATGGGGCAGAGGCCCCATCCTGTCCACAGGAGGAGGTGACAGGAGGAGGCAGAGCTGAGCTGGTGACTCTCTGCTCCTTTTCCCTCCCTTCCTGTGAGAACTGGGTTCTTGGCTCCTGAGGGGAGGGAGTAGAGTGCTGCCTGCTTCCGGCAGCATCCATGATTGGCTGTTCTTCCCCAGTAGGCGGGGCAATGGGGAAGGCAGCCAATCAGAGGGTGTTTCCCCCAGGCAGGGCTGGCATTGGCAGAGGCATGGAGGGTCTCGCCCAGCAAATCCATGTGGTAGTGAAAAAGTTGCGAGGGCCGGTGACGCTGTTCCTGGGAGATGGCCAGTGCCTGGGCGAGGGGGGCCTGTGCTTTGGCCATCTGCCCCAGCTCAGGGTTGTTAGTTGTCAGAGCACAGCACGAGGCTCTCCGCTGCCCCCCTCCAGGCTGCGTCTAGACAAGGACTGAAAGGGTGGATTAGCACACAGAGACGAGCAGTGGGACTTCAACGTGAGGCAGCTGGTGGTATTAAAGCCGAAGTTTTAACCGAACCAGCCTAGCCCCTAGTAAGGTCAGGGTGCCTTGTCCACATGGGCAGCAGCTGCCACCTTCCAGCAGCACCCCTTTAAATCCTGAGGCCCTAGGCCAGCTGGAGGCGCTGTCCATCTCACCCCCCTTTTCCCTTGTAAGGGTTAAGGCAGGTGTTAGTGTTGTGACGCCGGCTGGTCAGCACACCTGGGATTGAGCCAGGGACTTCCACAGCTAAATGTGTGAGCCGCTAAAGCTGCCTAAATACTGTGCCAAGCTAGTCTGTGCACCAGGCCCTGTAACCCACGTGCATCAGTGCGTCACGTTATGCCCCATGTCTTTGGGGCCGGGCCTGTCTCTCACTGCGTCTGGGCAGCACCCGGCAGGACAACGCCCTGACCTTGGCTGGGGCCTCTAGGGGCGCTGCTGCCATAGAGCTAATGAATTATAAAATAATACTAATTGACGGGATGAGAGCACAGTCTGGAGAGGATCCCAGGGCACAGAGTGCGACAGACCTCTGTTACCAATCTGCCTGAGGCGCCAGGTGATCCGGCTGAGGCCGCAGGATCGTTAGGGGAAGAGATGAAGGAGCACACCAAGGGTCTACGTTTTAAAGCTTTAGTAATAAAATAACAGCAGTGAGTGCTGGGAACGCTCCCACATCACTCGGAGGAAGGAAGAAAGCGTTAGTGCCCCAAGCCCTAACCCACTTTCATACTCACACACGCACGACCCGAGGCTGGCCAAGCCTGGGTGTAACATAAGAAGAGGGGGAAGGGTGGACGAGAGTTCTGTCCTGTGCACAGGCCATCCAGCGTCCGCTGTTGATCTCCGATTTGCTTCAACTCTCAGGAGGTTGAGGATTTAAGTCCTGGGGTCTTTTGGGGGCGTTTCGTACAGGGACCTCTGTCCCCTGTGCTCTTTGTACCAGTCCAAACCGGCTTTCTGTGGCCTCCTCAGCGTTCCCAGAACACACCGGCTTCAGGGATGTGAGACAGTTGTTTTTCCCCTCGCTGGCATTCACCTTCTCCCTAGTTTTTGCAATCCCCTGCAGTCTGGTTCAGCTCACTTCTCTTTTCTCACAGTTGGCTGGGGTTGGGTAAGATCCAGGTACAGCTGTAGGCTTCTTGGCTGCATAGAGTCTGTTCAAGAGCAGTGACCTTGGACTGGAGCCAGCGTCTTATCTTCAGACTGAGCTGAGGCGTCGCGTTAACCCATTCTCTTCTCCCTTCCTCCCCCTTCGGCCTCTCGCAACCTGCAAAGGAATCTTCCACTCCACTCTCACACCTTTAACCCTTTAACCCTTCCCAAAATGCCTTGCGATGCTTGCAACAGCGTTAGCAACATACAGTGCTGATCTGCCTCCCCGGGGACCCCCCGAGGGAGGGGGCCATTGGGGTGTGACAAGAGAGCACTGCAGGCCCTGCCATCTGTGGTGCTTCTCTTCCAGCCGTGTCAGTGCCCAATCGCTCTCCCCTGGGGGCTAACTCCCGTCACCTGCTTCTCTTTCAGAGCCTGCCCAGAGTTTGGCAAGGCCAGGGTAACCAGTGCATAGGTCCTGGGGTGCTACACTGGAATGGGTCAAACCCCTTGAGCACTGCAGCACTGGGTGTTGCAAACCGTGACTAGTGGAGAAAGATGCTTGTGTCTGTAGGAGACTAGCCACAGGGGGTCCCATGCCAGTTCAGGCAAGGGGTCCAGGCGTCCAGCTGGCCCATCTCCAGCCATGGCCAGCACCAGCTGCTTCAGAGAAAGGTGCAAGAACCCCCTATTGGACAATGGTGGAATAACCTGTCCTTAAGGGAAGTGTCTGCGTAGCCCTGTCAGTGGTTCATAGAATCATAGAATCATAGAATATCAGGGTTGGAAGGGACCTCAGGAGGTCATCTAGTCCAACCCCCTGCTCAAAGCAGGACCAATTCCCAACTAAATCATCCCAGCCAGGGCTTTGTCAAGCCGGGCCTTAAAAACCTCCAAGAAAGGAGACTCCACCACCTCCCTAGGTAACGCATTCCAGTGTTTCACCACCCTCCTAGT